CAGTGAACAAAAGCAACCAGCAGCAGCAGCAACAAAGGTGGCATCGGGTGGAAGGAGCCTGTGCGCAGGACAACAGGAGGTAAAAGAAGCCCTGCTGTGGCCTATGCCATACTACCTTCAGCACGCCCGATCTCGTCTGATCTCGGAAGCTAAGCAGCATTGGGCCTGGTTAGTACCTGTGATGGGAGACTGTCTCGGAATACCAGGTGTTGTAGGCATTTTAACACTCTCACGGCATCGCAGACGTTGGGGCAGTAAGGGGGGTCACTCAGAGCACAGCCAGTGGAGGTGTGCTCTTTTGCTGGAGAGGGACAGAAAGATTGGGCTCCCGAACAGCACCGTGGGCAGCGTGGGCATGGTTCACTCTACACCCCATAGCACTGGAATGAAAAGCCCGCTGCTAGCTGTAGGCTAAAGTAGCCAAGTGGTGTGCACAGCTGAGTAGTGGAGCAACGTTTCCAAACTAGCACTTGTCGCCTATCTTTAGCAAAAGTGCTTTTCAAAGCGCTACCATCCCCTGTGTTGCCAACAAACCCCTGTGACAACAGACAGCAGCTTGTCAGTCCGAAGCAGAGAGAGGAGCAAGGATCCTAGGCAGACGCCACGTGCCAATTTATGGTTCAAGCTGTGAAGCTGCGCGTGTGAGTATTAGTGTAGTAGGGTGCAGCAAAGAAGAGAAGCTAAAAGGTGGTGTTGTTAAAGAAAGCCACGTGAGCCTGGCCGTGTGGTGAAAGAAGTTGCAATGTTGAAGCTAGCCGTTTGAGCAGTGAGTTGCAACAGCAGCAAATGAAGAAGCTGTGAGGGAGGTGCCTGGCTGTTGAAGAACAGAATAAGAGGAGATTAAAAGAGACTAATTTCTGCCTACGGCCATACCACCCTGAACATACCTGATCTCGGAAGCTAATCAGGGTTGGGCCTGTTTAGTACTTGGATGGGAGACCGCCTGGGAATACCAGTTGTTGTAGACTTTTGCTTTTTCAATCTCCTACTGTAGTAGATTATTTTCTGCAAACCAATTAGTTTGAATGACTATCTGTTCCTGTCCAAATTAAAGATAATAAAGTTACGTGCACGCAGAAGTAAATTCACACTGAGACACAGAGTTCAGGTTAATGAAAGAACTTCGGAGAAGTTTAATGGCTTCTAACAGAAAATGGGTGCGCAGACCCTTATAAAGGCATTTTTACATCACTGAAGAATTCAAGATAACAGCAAATAGACACTATTGATTGGTCTAGGTGTTAAGTGGTTAGTTAGATGCCCTCCTATCTGGAGGTGATGTCATCCTTGACACGGGAGTGGACACAAGATGTAGGCGCCATCTTGTTAGCACGAGGTGTTCACTCGATGGGGGGGGTGCTTTGGCAGCCATTTTGAGTAGTTAGTATTGTTAGCTTCAAGGTTCTTTTAGTAAATACACATTTTATTATTCAGCACATTTCTTCCTGCCAAAGCATTAGCTTAGATAATTTCAAGAATTCTATAATTCTACAACAGTCCTCCCTTAAAATGTTAGTTACTAAAAGATAAACTTTATTTGTTAATACCAGAAGACTTGTTAGCCCAAAGACACAGAAACCCCATGACCGCTAGCTTGGTGTTATTGCAAAATGCATGTCTACCCCTATCTGACCCTAACAGGCTGCAGCTCATCTGTCTTAACAAGTATCGAACACTTCACTCCGTGGGTAACCCGCAGTGGCTAGTCCACCACATCTCCGCACGTGAGACTCGCCTGTAGACACAGATGCTGTTCCTGCGCTGGTTCCCTTCCTAGAACTTCTGCACTTTATCAGTATAAGGGAGAGTTTGTAGCGGAATACAGGGTGAGGTGAGATCTTGATCATCGATTGTCAGATGAGTGAGAGTTAGTGTCGCTTGGTCTGTAGTCTTCTGTAAGAATTTTCTAAGGCATGGGAGGACACAACAAACAAGAAGAGCGAGAACAAAAAGGAAAATTAGTAGAGCCATACCAATATGGACTTAAGCTTTCTGCCAACCTGACATCCAACCAAACCACCTTTCCCAGGGATCTGTTACCCCAGAATTCCTTTTCAACTCTTCTGAGAGTTTCTCTAACTTCGCTTTGGCCATAGTGACTTTACCATTTGGACCTGTGTTTTCTGGGATATAAGTGCAACAAGTCATGGTGTCAGGTAGTATTTTACATACACCCCCCTTTTCAGCTAGGATCATGTCTAAGGCCATTCTGTTCTGGAAGGTCATCTGGGATGTGGCCTGCAACTGCTCGGCCAGGCCCTGGAGGGCATCCCTGGTGTAGTTGACAAAACGCTGTTGGTTGTAATAAATGTAGTTAATCCAATTAAGGTTTTTGTTGGCAGTGACTATGGTAAAAAGTGATTCAAAACCTACAGCTACTTCATCTCTAGCTTTAAATTCATTAGGCACCCCCCTAGGTACCCCAACGGCATCTATGTAAATGTGGGGGTCAAAACTGCCTTTTACTGGGGTTTCGCGCCTCACTCTGGCTGGTGTATGTGGAGGGTTGTATGTGTCATGATGATTATCAGAAATAATATGAATGGGCATGATAACTTTGGCTAGGGTACACTCACCCCACCACTCAGTTTCCAGCCTAGATCTTAACTGTAGATCCCCACATAACCAGTAAATATCCCCCAATGACCTGGTATGGTGTTGCAACAGGCGTATAGGAACAGTTCTGTAGGTGGCACAATAGCCATTGGAAAAGTTACCCATGAATTTACCAATCCCGTCATAGATAGCATAACAAGTGTAATTACCCTTGTAAATCGTGACTCCATCTGGGGGTTTGACATTTCCAATTAAGAGGGGGTACTCTGCCGTCCATGATTCGCAGAGGGATCTGTTGAAATTATAGCGGTAGGCAAAAAGACTGAGGAAGCAATTCTCTATCTCCAAAGGGAGAGTTAGAGGAACGGTGCCAAGATGAGGTCGAGCACCACCGCACACATAGCATGCGGTTTTGTTATGTTTATTAGCATTATATTTCATCCACTCTAACCATAGATTGATATCATTGTAACCAGTTTCAGTGGCCATGGTGTCTTCGAAGGTGGGGTTAGCAATGGCCATCATGTCCTTAAAAGACTGGATATGTGGTTTTAGTGGATTCGGGACCATATGAACAGCCCCTTGCCACTCTGGAGAGTGGCACATATCTTTAAGATAGAAATGACCTAATTTGTTATAGGAACCACTTTTCCAATACATTCCCATTACATATTGGTCAGCATCCTTTGGACCAGGGTGCTCAATGTTTAACATTAATTTCATGGGCAGACCTCCTCCTGGCTTTCTTAAAGTCATTATTTGAAGGAGGGATCTACCATGGTCATCTACTTTAGATAAGGCACTTTTGGGCTTGTAACCCCAGACAGGCCCAGTATTCCATCCTGCAGCCCCCCAATGGTCACAGTTGTGTCCCCATTGCTTGTCAACTACACAAACATAGGGGTCCTTTGCGTGTGGTATATCTTTGTAAATGGTTTGAATCTGTGACTTGGGAAATGGACAATCTACTATGTCACAGTAATCAAAGGTGAATTTAGCTACGCGGGTGCATGATGAGTTATACCAGAATGTGTACCCACTAGCATCTTTGGTAATGGCCACTTCTTGGGCCTCAAGGAAACTAATCAAAGGGATGATGTACCAGAGGTACATGGTTGTGAGGAGTCTGCTTCCTCTGGGACAGGAACCTTTTTGCAATGGGAGGCGTGTATCCAGTTGCTTTTCCCAGCCAACTTGACGGAGGTGGAGGTGATCAGTAGAACTTGGAATGGTCCGTCAAATCTTGGTTCCAGGGTGTGTTTCCGCACAAATTTCTTGACTAGGACCCAATCACTAGGAAGCAGACTGTGGTTGCCCGTATCAGAATCAGGATCTGGAATTGAAGAGAAAACTTGGGCATGGATTTTGTTTAAAGCATTTGCGAGTGAGGTAGTATTTTTGTACAAGAGCAGTCATTAGATCCTTTGATAAATGTGCAGGTCCGTGTGCCCATTGTACGACTGCTGGGTACAAATTCTTAGGGAGGCAGAACTTGAGGTTGTTGGAGTACACTCCATCCTTCAGAACTGCCCCTTTCTGTTTCCATCTTTGTATTTCTTCTGGAGCAACTGCAGCCTGTTGTTCCCGTAGGATTTTTAGATCAGTTGGAAGTGTCTGCAAGGTAAATGTGGGAGTTTCTTCGTTTCCGGACACACTTCTGTCCACTTCCTGTAGTTCTCTTGCAGCTTGTTTTGCAGTTTGATCAGCCAGATGGTTGCCCCTTGCTTCATCCGAATCCAACTTCCCATGTGCCTTTACCTTCAGAATGGCCACTTCTTCTGGGAGTAGGAGGGCATCCATCAGCTCCTTGATTGCAGAACTGTGCTTGACTGGTGTACCGGCAGTGGTAAGAAATCCTCTTGTTTTCCAAATTAATCCGAAGTCATGAGCCACGCCCAGTGCATATCTTGAATCTGTGTAGATATTGGCGCGCTTTTCTTCTGATATCTTGCATGCTGAAATTAGGGCTTGTAATTCAGCTTCCTGCGCAGACATTGTTGATGGTAGAGATGATGACTTGATAATTTCATCTGTTGTGGTGACGGCATATCCTGTGTGATATTTTCCTTCTTCATCAGCATACCTTGAGCCATCCACAAACAGGGTGAGGTCAGGATCTATTAGTGGATCCTCATACACGGTTGGCAAATGTGTTGTTTCCATTTTCATCTGTTCAAAACAGTTATGGGGTGTTTCTGGATCATAGTCGTGCTTTATGACCAGATCTTTAAATTCTTCTTCCAGAAAGTACCGTGGCCATGCTTTTACATGTTCAGTTGTTGGGTACTTGACAACGCGTTTTTCTTGGAGCTGTAGTTCATCCATGCTGGCCCATAGTTTTGCCATGGGCCCGAGATCACCCCATGACTTTATCTTTGATTTGGTAACAGGGACATGTGGAATGGCTGTGTCCCAATGGTGATATAGATGTTCAAGTCCAGGTGATAGTTGAACCAAAATCATACTGTTGCTTTCAGTATCGCAGTAAAAATCTTGTAGAATGAGTTTTACCTCAATTAATTGATAAAGTTCATCTTCATAATGAGGGTCAGGGTTGATGGTTGGCTTGTACCACATGGTGCAGAAGGCATATTCTGGCCCGTCACAGGCGGGTAAATTGAGGTGCATCTTTTTAATGGTGTGGGTAAGAAGTAGGACATAGCCTTCGGCCATGATAAATCCATAGTAGCTAACCCCCTCAGGGAGTGGCAGAAGAGTGGACGGAATCAGAACCTGACGTCTTTGAAGGGTAACATTGTCAGGTAACAGGAGATGACATTGGAGACGAAGGTGCCTGGCAGGGGTGACATGTTTGAGTTGGACCTGGTTAAGTATGGCAGAAATATTATGAGGTGCCAAAACAGTCAGAGGGTGGCCAAGAACCAGGTCCCCAGTGCGGTTTATGAGTTCCTGAGCGGCAAAAACAGCTCGGAGGCAAGAGGGGGTTCCTCTAGCCACAATGTCTAGTTGGCAAGAGAAGAAGCCAATAGGCCTTTGGCAGCCGCCAGGTCCATGGGCTTGAGTAAGGACTCCTGTAGCGTGGCCTTGTCTTTCAGACACAAATAATTTGAATGGTTTGGTGTAGTCTGGCAAGCCTAGGGCGGGAGCAGCGGCAATAGCACGTTGGAGAGTGTAGAAGTTGTCATGTGCTTCTGAGGACAGACAGAACGGGTCTGATTTAAGAGCATCGTACAAAGGTTGCATGAGTAGAGAGGCCTCTGGGATCCACGCTCAGCAGTAAGAAATGAGGCCTAGAAAGGCGTGGAGGGATTTAGGAGTTTTTGGAGGCGGAATGGCCAGAACCGCTCCGACACGATCACGGGTGAGGTGTCTGGTGCCATGGGACAGGCAATGGCCTAGAAAGATTACTGTGGCCTGGCAAAATTGAAGTTTGACAAGAGATGCCTTACACCCCTGATCTGCACGATAACAAAGGAGGTCCAGAGAACATTTTCCTGTCGTGGGGATGTCATCTCCAAGTAAAATGGGAAGGGAACAAAGAACTGTAGTGTCTTTTCGTGACAAAGGTGTATTTAATTGAACCTGGCCGTCTGCAGTGAGGGTGATGGATGCTTGGAGGCGGGATAGGACATCAGCACCCAAGAGATTAATGGGACATGGACAGGTTACTGCGGGAAGTACCATCAACACCAACACAAGAGACATCGGTGTCAGACAGGAACGATGAGTCAGGCAGGTCTTGTTCTCTAAGAACACTGCGGGCTGCACCTGTGTCAACCAGGAAAGTAGTGGGATGACCCTCAACGGGTAGAACTACTGTGGCTAGTGGCCCTCCCCCATAGACACGTGGCAGGGGCATTAAGCATCAGCGGGTTTGCTCTCCTCTGTATGGGCTGTGTTACTGACTCTAACCCCTTTCTATGTCATTAGCCATAGCTTTTTGCAGTCTGAACATGTCTATCATTATAAATAATGGTTAATAGTAAGTGAAGTAAAGTTCCTATATGTCTTTGGATAAAACATTAACTATTGCGGTACTATCATTTATATTAATTAGACCATAACAATTATACCACCCTGTAACTAAAATGAATAACCAGTAGTGTCTGGGTTAATAAAACATGTCACAAACCCTTCTAATGCTAAACCATCATTTAACGTACAGGATGTTACTGTAAACATACGATCTGTAACTAGCAAGATTCGATTAAGTAAAGATACAATGTTTAAAATAACTTGAATTATGTGGCTATTTTCCTTGTTGCAAAATTAATCTGGATAATCAGCTGTTATGCTCAGATATTCGTGTCCAACAGATCTCATTTGTAGGTCACACCACAGTTGCAAATGACATTTTAGCAAAAAATTTTTTTTTAATATTATTATCACGGACACATTTCTGATACAGGGAAACAAATGGCATGATTGTTTTAGTAATTATAATGTTTCTGTTCATAATATGTAGAGTGTAAGGAAAACAACATGTCTCTAAATAGGACGAGCATAATAGGGGTAGGCCTCATGATGGAGGCAGCCATGACAGGGGCGGGGAAGGAAATGGCAGGGAGGAAGTGATGTGACGTCCATGATATGTGTGGGAAAGGAAGTCAGGAGGTGTGAGCATGGTAAGGGCGGAAGTGACGTCACTTTAGAAGCAACTGTGACTGTAGATAGGTCACGGGACTGGCAGAGCCAACCTCCTTCTCTACTAGGCGCCATCTTTAGGGTGGTGGCTGACGCACTTTCAACAATACACTATATTATAACTAATAAAATAAGTCAGAGAAGCAACATTCCGTTCTGCAAAATGAAATACTAAACTATGAACAGACCTGGCAGGTTAAATAACACAGTTGAGAACATTATGCATTTAACAGCCCATAAAGCTGTCCATAGAAACATGTACTTTAAAGTAACATGATGCAAAATAAACTCACGGAATTCAACCAATTTCCCTTATCATCCAACAACCATTAATCACCTTCCTCTTCTTATACTAACCTAGCTATACTGCATGATCCCTCTATCCACAATGCATAGTTTTGCAACAAATCACGCTTGCCTTTACACTTAACACGTCCAAATATTCCTCTATTCTTTTATCAGATTCACTTACCTAACCTCCGTAATCAACACTGAGCTACATTCTTGTGAGCGAGTCTCCCCCACAATCTTCACTGTCTTATCACAAAACACAATTTATATATATATATATATATATATATATATATATATAGCACTGCAGAATCTGCCGGCGCCATGCAAACGGCAACAATAATAATATTATTACACAATTATAACACCATAACCTTTGAATTAGAATATCTATGTATATAACAATGTACACAATATTACACAATTAGAATATTTTCCAGCAAAAATCCCGTCTCTAACTCTTATCAGTAGCTCCGAAATGCAGGCATGTCACTCCTCCCCCCCTAGGCAAGGGGGGGGGGGAGAAAGTGAGACAGAGTGCAAAAAGGGGAGAGAGGGGGGGCGGGGCCAACCGAGCTGCTGAATGGCCGCGATCTAAATTAGCTCCGGCCACGCCAGACACAATCCGACCTAATCGGGCCGCACAAAACAGAGATGGGTCACCCTAAACGAGCCACATCGTCCCAACAAGCCCCCAGCAAAACCCCGTCGGGGAAATCGGGAGCGCTTACCAAATACTTCCGCGACCGGGCGGACAGTAACACCGGCCTGCTAGGCCCCAACATGGCAGCTGACTCCCCGCCTCTATGCATGTCCCTCTCCAGCCCGGCGGACTCATACAACTCGGGCCCCCCCACAGAAGGAGACCTGAAGGAGATCCTGAGGAACCTACCCTCCAAGCAGGATATTGCAGGTATGCTGACCCGGCTGGAAGCCTCAGTCCAGGCCAAGATGGACTCCTTTAGTTCAGAAATCCGCCAGGTCTCTGACCGGGTGGTCATTCTAGAAGATGACAGGGACGCCATACAAACACAATTGAGCTCCCTACAGGCAACGGTAGAACACCAAAATGCTTACCTATCCTCGCTCCATAGGTCTATAGATGATCTGGACAATAGGGGGCGCCGCAACAACTTGCGGATTCGGGGTCTCCCTGAATGTGAGCAGGAAGATATTTATGCAACCCTAAATGAACTCTTCAACCTTATATTAGGAAAACCAGGAGACAGCCATATTCTCCTAGACAGAGCACACAGAGCATTGAAACCCAGAGGTATAGCCACAGACAAACCCAGAGACGTCATCTGCAGACTCCAATACCACACCTGCAGAGAGGACATACTGAACACGCTGAAACAAAATTCACAACCCCTTCTGTTCCACGAAGCTCCAATCACAATCTATCCAGATCTCTCCTGGCTGACACTACAAGCGAGAAGGATTTTGCGCCCCATTACGGATCAACTGAGAGCTAGAAATATAAGATACAGGTGGGGATATCCACTTGCGCTGAGCGTCACACACAAAGGCGCCCAGCACACCATCCACTCCCATGCAGACATTCCTCTCTTTATCCAAACTCTCAACTTAACAGATCCGCACATCCAAGATTGGTATGGACCACTGCAAACACCACTACTCCCTCAGCTGCCACAGAGACCCAGATGGCAACAAACACCCAAGAAAAAGAAAATGGACAACCGAGACCCGATGCAACAGTGATTGGATTCTAGCCCGGAGCAAACGGCATGAACCGCTGTCGGCCCAGGTCCTGGGACCAGCAACCTACAATCCTCTTGAAACCTCAAAGACACCATCTACTAACTGAAACCTGCCTCAGACGACCGCACAAAACTGGCCGAAACGGACTTTCTCGTTACACTGCTAGGCTGTAGAAGAGCACGCTTCCTCCCAGCCTCCTGCACACCTCCCGTGATTCAGGTGACTGTATTCACTGTCCGCTGCTTATATATCGCAATAACGCGCTCACTACAGCAGGAAGCAACAATTCCTCACTTACTATCCCCTATTAGACTTATCCAGCCTAATATCTCCCGCTAATGAACCCTTTATACACAACACCACGCCAAGTAACCTTATATAACGGCTTGCAGTGATAACCACCTCCAATGAAGACATGGTTACAGGCCAGACAGCAAGGTTTCTCTAGCACTAATTAACCCCCCAATCTGCGGACCAGGTAACCGGGTTGGCAGAGGACAGCCGTGGCACGGTAAACGAATTCCACCTATTCGCCCACTACACAGGTTAAGAACAACCGTCAACTAAAATATATATAAAAAAAAAAAAAAAAAAGCTCATAGACATTGGCACAGTTTAATATGTTTAAATCCTATTACTGATACACATGCCTGAATGTTTGATGTGTTGTAAATAATGTTAGCGGATTTGTGTTCTGGCGGTGATTGACTGTAAACCAATTCTCCTTCTGCTCCATCAAGAGAGCTTTTGGTTGACGTCAACTACCTAAGACCACCCCCGCCTCTCTCCCTCACTGTTTAATTACTATCATATGCATACTTGATAACTCCTATCGTATTAGGTCGACACGACCTACACCACGGTGTCACAGAAGCACCCAAGTGGCAAAATCATCCTTCGGTCCGACA